AGTGATTAAGGCTGTATGCAAATCTGATTCTTATTAAAGACTCGCCAATATCTTTCCTTTAACGTGTGAAAATGAAAATGAAAATGAAACGTGGATCTCTTGATAGATTATGTCACGTTTGAATACAACTTCCTTCTCTTTACATGCTTTGCCGTTTGGGTTTTGAAAAAAAAATCATTCCCCATAATTTCTAGATGGCTTTCTTCTGGAAAACTTCAAGGCCAAAGGGGATAGGGGTGGTGAAAATAGGACTCCATCCCTTGATCTAAATAAAGATCTGGTGATTCAGTAAGCCAGTTTTAACTGCCTAATTATCAAAGTTTCACCTACTGTAATTAAATAGATAAAGTCATATCTGCCTCATACAAAACATAACAGTTTTCACACAGTTAAAACATTTGTTAATGTTGCTCTATCTTTTAAATCGTTGCATATTGTAACAGTTCATGTATGTAAGACTTTCCAGAAATGTATGATTATGATGACATGTGACTTCTTTACATGCTAACTTACAGCAGTAACTATCATCTTAAAGGTTCATAAACCCCTACAATTTAAAAGTAATTTTCAAATCCGAGTGTTTTAAAATAAACTGCACGTTCTTTGTTCTATGTAGTCTTTAATACAATATTTTGATTGGTTTAAAAGTGGCTACAGTTGAGGATTAAATCCAATCCAATCCACCTTTATTTATATAGCACGATTTAAACAAACACAGGGTTTTCCAAAGTGCTGCACAAAAACATATCCAAGAAAAATAAATAACACAGAAGAAATTCAGCTAAAAGTTTTTAAAAAAAATATGCATGAGTATACAAAAAAATCAACACTCTCCATGGTGTCAAAAGTCAAAAGCCAAAGAAAAGAGGTGGGTCTTAAGAAGAGTTTTAGAATCAGCCTGCATGGCTAAATCAGGTACATTTACATGATTGATTGAAATGCTTCTTAAATCTATGTGCAGTATCACTCCTTAGATAAAATAAATAAATAAATACACAAGCAAAATGAAACTATATCAACTTGGTTACTCAGTTTGCATGAAACCACAATGAGCTCAAACAAGGAAACTAATTATAATAAACGTGGTCGTAATCTTAGCATGACTGTGTAACAGGATGGTACTGTTTGTGAACACAAACACCAGGAAGCATACCTGTTGAGTCTATTTATGGGGAACACGATTTATGTGTAAAACCGGAAACATTTCTATGGATTTAATAATCATGTGAAGGCTTACATGCTTCCACTGGCGTTTTACTGTCGACATCTAGTGGCCATAAAGGTACCGTACAGCTCTTTGGGAGCAAATCTGACGTGGATGGATGGACATTTTATGTCAGGCCACTGTTGCCTTCAAGGTCCTTCCAGCACTGTCATTGGTGATTCTTATAGTTAAATTTTTTTTCAACTCTAGCAAAAAAGTAGTTAAAGAACCTGGTTTGGACCCATCTAATTAAAGCAGAATGAATCCAGAATTAAACCAGCTGAAACATTCTTCAATATGTGATCCACGAATTTGAAATTGATTGGTAAGATAAAAAAGGAATAAAAAATGTTAAAACTATTTTTTTAGAGAGAAATTATGAACTTGTACATCTTAAAGAACAATTAACATAATATCTTATAGTCAAACTTGTTTGAAATCTGTTTTGGCGAATGTACTTGCAAATTAATTAATTTGTTTGTTTTTTTGCTTACGTGTTTTAATACGTACGTGAATTTATTAATCTCCCAGCGACACGTGAACGCAGCTCCGGCAAACCGCAATATCCGCGCAGCGCATGCGCAGTAGCACAAGAGGAAGCAGGGACCAGACTTTAAGGATTATGTGGACAAGTGGGCGAGCGAAAGTAACAACTTTCCCGCTATTAACGTCGGTTTTGTGAACTTCCGGAAACATGGGGACACATTTAAACGGAACCCCGACATCTTGAGAAACAGTCCATGTCATTTAATGTCTATTTAATTGAACAAATTCTTCAAAAGCGGAGCGAAACATGATGTCGGAGTGCGACCCGGTGGAGACGGATGTTTGCAAACCGGAACCGGAACCGGGACCGGGAACGGTACCGGGGGGGTTAACGGTACCGGGACCGGGACCGGGGCTCGCCGTGCGGATCTC